AGCCAGTTTCAAACTTTGCTGAACGCTGTTTCTCCTTGCTGGCTGTGGCGTTGTGGTAGATGACGTCTACAACTCCAACATTTCCAAGTTCAGCCACTAACCAAGATGAACTTCATATTGGAAATATTCAGATTTCCCTCTTCTATAATCCGGTGGTTGTACTTCATTAGATTATTTGTGCTCAATTCATACATTTATGCGCAATAAGACTCAGTGTTTGAACATCAGGAGACAGAAACCCCCTGGTTGGGATAAATTCTTTATATCCTCATAGCTCCATCTTCTGCCCAGCCTGGGCATCTTGTCATATAGAAAGTCTTCCATTAATCTAACCCACAAACAAAATACTGTAAACTTTAATTGACATAAACTTTCATTCTTTTCCTTTGCCTTGCTTGCAATTAAGAGATCTTGTGTTTCTGCTGGCATAATGAGTTTATATTCAGTCTTACAATGTTTTCCCTCTCTAATCGGTTTTGTTCATCACATAACAATAGATGGAAAATATTTGGTTCGGCGGGACACTGAAGCGGGTGGGTCTGCCTTCAAGAATTTTTATAAGTGTTAGATAGAAGCCAAAAAGATGCTTCTCATCATGATTGCGCCTCGGCTCACATCCTACACAGAAACATTCATGGTAAACACTAGTATCAGTCAACCTCCAGCTTTTTCTGCTTTTTCACATGGTGTAACAGCGCAAACCCAACACAACAACCAGCAGCACTAACTACAGTGGTGCCCTGCTTGACGATGATAATCCGTTCCAGCGAAATCACTGGAGAGCGAAATCATCGTCAAGCGAAAGTAAAAAACCCATTAGAATGCATTAAAAACCAGTTAATGCGTTCTAATAGGGGAAATACCTCATCGTCCAGCGAAGATCCTCCATAGGGCGGCCATTTTCCGGTGCCTGTAAAGCGAGGAATCTGTCCTAAACACAGCGGGGAGCCATTTTGCACAGCGGGGAGCCATTTTGCGACCAACCGATCAGCTGTTTTAAAACCATCATTAAGCGAAAAATCAGTTCCCGAAGCAGGGAAGCGATCATCGTTAAGTGAAAAACCCCTTTGAATCATCATAAAGCGCATTCATCGACAAGCGGGGTAATCGTCAAACGGGGTGCCACTGTAGTTTCCTCGCAACAGTGATGCTGAAACCTATTGCCTCCCACTCCATAGAAGTCTATAACCTTGGGTTACTCTTTTAAATTTCGGACTAAAATCCAGAGTGGATTCACTGCCTCAGCAAAACTGGAGTCCCCGGCCTCCGTTTTTGTCTCCTTCTGCTAACCCTCCACAGGGCTGTGCAATTTGGGGGGGGGACCCCTCTGGGTTCAGCCCTGTTTCTTCTGACTCTAAATAGTGGGTCAAGTCCACACCCCTTGCTGCACCCGGGCCTCTCCGCGGAGACGCGCAATTCCACAAAAGTGGTAATCCTTCTAAAATCCATGTTAATATACACAATTATACTTTTCAAGTGTCGGTGAGGAAGAGAAGACAAGCTTCCGTATCGAGGCCAAGAATCCAGACGATGGAGCCGTACCAATAACAGCACCTGAGTCATGGCTGGAGAATACGTTGGCTTGTTTTTCCCCCTCAAAGTATTAGAAAACCTGCTAGGTTATGAATTGATTAATTCCTGGCCATTTTCTTTATTTCTTGTGAGTCATGGGTTTGGAAGGGGAATAGAGCTAATAGATTTTCCAGTGTGGTGGCAGGGCTTATGTGTGCATCACCTTTACATTATCTGTTTCTTATTATTTTAAGAACCTCAAATCCACACCTTTTTCTTTCCAACATTTCCTTCGTCACACGATTCGTTTTTCCAGCTCGCTTTAATTTTGGGCATCGTGGTCCTTGGCCTGCTGTACTCTCCCGCCATCTATGCCCTCTCCGTCAATGCCTCTTGCTTTCAGAGGTAGCACCTCGTAGCCGTTTTGGGTGGGCTGTGTGGTGCAGTGGTCTCATCCGGTGTCCTCTGTGATCTCTGATTATCGGGGCTTGTCCACGGTGACTAACCCTAAAAGGAGAACACAACGCTGATATGATGGAGCAGGGCAAATGCTTCTGTCATTGCTTATGAAGAATGCCGCCAACCTGCCTTTTAGGGCAAAGCATTCACAAGACAAGTTAATGCTGGGTAGCTCAGCAGCTTAGGCATCTGACTGCGGAGCCAAAGGTTGGGTGTTCGATTCCCCCACAGGGCCTCCTTGACAAAGGCTTTCAACTTTGCAGTCTTGAGATGAGGATGATGATATGATGCAGAAAAGAAATAAGTCAGCAAACTTAACAGATAGTATAGTCTAAAATGCAAGTTTGAAAGAATTGGGAAGAAAGGTGAGATAGAAATAAAATGAATAAAAAGATGGATGGATGGCAATGGCTTTCCTCCCCAAATTACCCCAGTGAAAGGGGGGGGGGTTGTAATAGCCAGGATTTTTGTGACAAAGAATTGGTCTGGTCTCTGCTCCATTCCAGTGCTCAAAATAAAATTTCTGGACTCAAAACGGTGCAGTAAAAGGTGTTTAGCTTTTGCCCCGGAATTCAGTCAGTAGCTTGGCCACTTCTCGTTAAATAATAAAGCAGATTCTATAGAGTTGAAGTCTGCTGAACCCTTTATTAGTTGTGGAGCCCCAAATTGCAGATCATTAACCTGTACTTCGTTACAAGCCTGGACATCAAGCCTGTGTTTTTCTTCTTTTTCATTTTTTCACAGTATCTGGAAAAGGCCTGACGGTCCATTAAAAAGCACTTTAATTGTTTACAGCTGCATTCAGTTCAACAACAACTTGAGCTCCTGTGCATTTCACCAGAATCTCATGGACATCAATGACGCCAGTAGCCATAGTGTGTAGAGTCTCCGATACACACACACTCAAACACACATCCCTCACTATATATAAGGGTCTGTGCATTTCACCAGAATCTCATTGACATCAATGACGCCAGTAGCCAAAGTGTGTAGAGTCTCCGATACACACACACACACACACGCAAACACACATCCCTCACTATATATAAGGGGTTAATAACTTTTGAATTAAATTGCTTAGTGATCACTGGCCAACTTTCTAATTAACTTGACTAATATACCAAAGCGCATTTTCGAAAGTTCAATCACGCTTCTGTGACTCGAGTCTCTCCCCCCCCCCAAAAAAAAATCATCTCAGGGGGAAACAGAGTTTTAAATAGCTTAAAATCGCTCAAGCATTTTTAGGAAGTTTATAGCCTCTGCTTTTCGTTTGAGAAATCTGATTGCTTAAAGACTTTGAAGGCCAGTGGAGAGATAATGCTTGGTGTCCCAAACAGCCCTCCTTGTGTAACTCTCGAGGCACTAAAAATAGGCTTTTGACGTGCCTTTGTGTCCTGCTGTTGTTTATAACATTAAATCCCACTAAAAGGTTGAAAGCAAATAAAATTTAATGAAACGCCCACATGTTTTTTCAGTCGGCTGCTTCCTTTCCAACATGACAAAATGTGCTGGGGATTTGTTTTTGTTGTTGAAGAAAGTATGGAGTTCTTGTTTTACAGTAAAAAAAGAAAAAATAATAAATAAAGGGAACAACTGTTTTGGTGAAGTAAGCCTGAGGATGCTGTAAGGATGGCCGTGTCAGAGATGACCTTCATCTTGATTAGAGTCTAATGAAAGTGCCTTTTGACCCTCAGGAAGTGCCCCCCCAAGACACCCATAGAAAGAACAAAACATTAAACCCAAATTAAACAGACCAGACAATGAAGAAAGTGATTATTTTTTTAAAAAAGGAACAGGATCTAACCTTTGATGTATTTTTTTCCCCAAAAAAGCACCACAAGCTGAATGGAACTCGATTTGTTGAGTATGTCCTTGAAACTTTAACAGAGAAGAGGCTGGACGGTCTTGGGAGAGCAAGAAAATGCCTCTGTTTCCCGATTTTGGCAGGCTGAGGGAAAGGACATCTTATTTTTATAAGATGTCCGTAGGGGGATTTAAAATCAAATCCATGCATTTCCAGCTGGTACAAAGTCCCTCTGGCTAAGTCGGCAGGTGTTTCCGTACACGTGCTAGGCGTGCGAGAGGTGAAACCTAATAGTGGGTCACAGTTAGAGTAGGTTTCTTGAATCAGTGGGGATTTGGGAGTCAAGTCTTACATAAGTTCTATTGATTCAATGCCTTATGGGGCTTCAGCCCATATATTTTTTTTCCACCAGGAGCAGAAAAGCCATTCACTCTGTCTCTTGCCCTTTGAATTACATGTGTGTGCATGTGTGCATATGTGTGTGTGTGTGTGTGTATATGTCCATGTGTATGCACATACTGGTATTAATTTAAAGTTATTCTACAAGGACCCACTTCTGTGGCTCCACCAAGGTTCATTCTCCTCTCTCATCTGATATTTTGGCCCTTAAACCTTGGGGGAGGGAGGGAGGAACTTAGAGATTGGATGGATGGATGGATGGATGGATGGATGGATGGATGGATGGATGGATGGATGGATGGATGGATGGATGGATGGATGGATGGATGGATGGATGGATGGATGGATGGATGGATGTCAACAGATGGATGGATGGATGGATGGATGGATGGATGGATGGATGGATGGATGGATGGATGGATGTCCAAAGATGATCCCCAAAGCTGTTGGAACGTAAACATGGATGCATGAGAGCTCATGTGTAAGTCTTGCAGTGAAGAAAATGACTTGTGGCAGACTTAACTAATGGGTTTACTGGTCACCCAGAAAGAGTCTTCCTTAGAGGGAAATGTGTATACATCATTTTCCTCAGAAGGAAATAACAAGCCCATTTCCTTCCAGCCACCCACCTCACTGGGGGGTTTGAGATCCACCACTCTCCTACAGTCTAACCGGCCTTGAGTGGCAGCTGTGGGGAAACGGGGCAGGTGGGTGGCGGCGCATCCGTCCTTTGGCTCTTGAGTCCTTTATAATTCAGACAGGCTTCCTGTGCTGTTGGTTGAACTTGTAGTATGATAACGGTGGCATTGTTTTGTTTTGTTTTTAGGAATAACTATACCGGAAGAAGATGCCGAGGTGGGGCAAGGTAGCAAATATTGTCTGGTGGCAATTGGGAGGCTGCAGGTAAAAATTGTTGTTGTTATTTTGATATGTGAATGCATTTTTCTAATTCAATGCTTTGGAGTGTCGAACTTATTTAAAATTCCAACTCGGATGAAGACACCTGGTTTCAACAAGATGGTTATTAAAATCCTACGATGCCAGTTTTATCATGAGGATATGAGCAATCCTACGCTCATATCCTCATCCTACAACCATTTTGCCCCTATTTCCGGGGAGGGCAGCAGCTTCTGCATACATTATTTCAGCAACTACTGGGTTATCAACAATCTCAGGTCACTGGAAATCAGTAAAACTCTGTGTTCCGGTCCGTCTTAGCTGGAGGGCAGCTGCATGCATGAAACAGGCTGCACAGATGATACGTGAGGATGACTGTATATTGCTTCTCAAAATGTTGTCCCTCGAGGTATGCAGATCTTTCAGCCCTACATGCCTGTATGGAATGTTATAGCGCTATATGCCAATATGGAAAGCAAGTTACGCTTCTCACCGGATGACCAGCTGTAAAATCGAAGCAGGCCAATTCATCTCATGTGAATTGGGGCAAACTCGTGTTGGATTAGATGAGCATTTTTCTTAGCTCTTGTGGAAACCATTTCTCATTGCATGTCTAGACAGGCATTTTTTAATCTCTTGTGGAAACCATTTCTCATTGCATGTGAACTGTCTTGTCTAGTTTGGCCCTGCATTTGAAAACCTGTAGCCTGGGCTTCATCCGTTGGTTCCTACGATTTAGTAGATGTCCTCCTTGGAAACTCAGTGGATCTTTGCGTTGTAGCCTTAATTCTATGAAAAGTCAAACCTAGAGACGTTCCAAAGGGGCTGGAGAAGGACATGAGTGGGGGGGTTTCTTTGGCCCATGAGACAGCTGCCAAAACAAGCCATAATCCAGAAATTACTATTTGCATCCTATAGCGCAAGGAAAATAGTGCTTAGCTAAGAACAATCGTGAGTGACAGAAGAAGCCACAGTTTTCAGTGGGGGTTGCTGTTATGATGTGCCGTCAAGTCACCTCTGACTTACGAGTAGGAGCAGGCTTAATCACGGAAAAGTTCCAGGGGGTGCAAAGAGCTTAAATGATGAGCTGTTTTATGCCCCAGGAAGTCAATCATTCAGCTGGAATGGGGTTGACCTCCTTACTCCTTGCACTGGCGTTTTGACATTTTTGCCGATCAGGGGACATTCTTAAAGAAGAGAAAAGAAAGACTGTACGTGCCGGTTTTGCCTGAGAAAATGACTAGGCCCAACGGGGCATCGGGGAAGATAAATCTTGCTCGGGAGCGTGGAGAAGAAATAACTGATTTTCTCATGAATTTTGCTGTTCTGTCATTACTCAAGATCGGTCCCTGATATAAGGAGCAACAGAACATTCCTTTGGAGTTTGGGCAATGTAGGTTTTATCATGTCAGTTCCTGGAACTCTGATTCAAATAGAGTATTAGCCAAGAGATCTGTAATTTGACCAAGGAGCATTATTATGAAGTATATGCACAGAGTCTGGTTCAGGTAGATAACACGGACCCATGCTTTTCTGCTAAAGGTGGACATGAATCAAACTGAACCAAGCTGGTTTGGTTTGTAGTTCGATTCATGCCACCCATTTTGCCGAAATGAAACAAAGCACCTGTTGACTCTCTACCTGTTCCTGCCACCTCTGCTGTTGCCACCCATCTTTAGAGACATCAGCCTAGCTTCCCTTCCAGAAACAGCGGTGTCATAGGAGCAGGTAAGCCTCCCCCACCACCAGAAACAAACCGAATTGCGAATCGGTTCAGTTCTCTGGCTGGTTCATGTCCATCTCTGTTTTCTGCTCCAGAATGATCTGGAGCTATATTTCTCTTTCACACACACTTTTTGATATACTCTATGAAGAGGTGAGAGGAGTCCATGTCTAATTTGAAACTGATCATCTCTCTCAGCTATGTCAGCATGCAAGTGAACTGTGGCTGTCTGGAATCACTGTTTGATTCTAGCTAGCTCACATCCACTGTAGTCAAAATAACAGGGTGGGTTAATTGAACTGATATTTTCCTTGTGTGTACAAAAGAGAGGAGGAATCCCCAGCAAGCAGCTGGGCTCAGTCCTAGAGCAGAAAACCCTGATTTGTCCATTGTTCTGAATTGATCTTAAATCTGCCTCTCCATTTCCCACCCCCCTGCAAGATGCCAGGAAACTGGGCACCTTTACATCAGAGTCATACTGATACAGTGTTCAATCTCATTAAGTAGTGGCTGATTTGCCAACAGAAACTCAATGCGTTGTTTCTTTCCAGAGTAGACCATTTCCCATCCTCTCTCTCCCAGGTAACCAGCTCTCCCGTCTGCATGGACATGAACGGCATGTCTGTCCCCACGGAGTTCTTATCCAGACACAACTCTGATGGGATCATCACCTTTGTGGACCCGAGATGCATCAGCGTGATCGGCTACCAACCCCAGGTCTGTTCACTGTCAGTAAAACAGAGACGAAGCCAGCCATTTTCCCTGTCAAGGAGCTGTAAGCAGGGAGCAAGGGGCTTGAGATCTGTTGCTACATGTTCCCATAACATCTCCTAGGACCGGCACCTTCACAGAGAGATTTAGTCCTTTCAAAATGATCTTTTAGTGATGCTGGCTTGCTCGCTCCCTTCCTTTTCTTTCATTCCTTTTCCTTTTTTAAATTTTCCTTTTTAAAATTTCCTTCCTTCCATTCTTCTATCCCCCCCATCTCTTCCTCTCTGTTTCTCCTTGGAAAAACCATGCACTATAGCGAATAGCGCACATAATTGGTTTAGTTTACATCAGAGATGAGAAAAGTTACTTTTTGGGCCACTAACACCCACAATTTTATGACCCCCTTAGTTTTGGGGAGACGAAACCTCAACACATTACTTTCCCTGTCGGTGATTCCCTTTTGTTTATAGACTGTGGGAGCTGGTTGCTACCTACATCTGACATGGATTAATGACAGTGGGGTGCATTGATCGTAATGTGTGGATTCTACACAGTCCTTCTCTAGTCTTGTGCCTCCTGTTGTTCTGGCCTGCAGTTTAGATCGGCCACACCCAACATGGCCAGTGCCACTGATGATGGGAGTTGTAATCCACATCATCTCAGGGAGACACCCGTTTGGGTCAGATTGGGCTACCTAGTTGAAGCTAATTCAAACTAGCCTTCTGGTGCCCTAACCTAACATATTTTTTACAACTAGATGCTAGGTTTCTGCCCCAGTCTCCCATTAAACATGTCCTATAGGATTTGTATATATAGTGACTTTTTCCTCTTCCTATCTCTCTCCACTCCCTCTGTTTTCATGAATGGTTGACTAGGATCTTTTGGGAAAAGACATTTTGGAATTTTGCCATCCAGAAGATCAAAGCCATTTGAGAGAAAGCTTCCAACAGGTAAGCTGCTGCTTATTAGTTCAGCTTGGATTCATCACTACCACCATCCAGCTCCTAACCCTTTAAGCCTAAAGCTGTTGAGTTATATTGTCAAAATGTATGATGTAGATAAAATTCAAAGGTAGAACTTCCAAGGCTGTTTATAGTCATGTCAAGTCATGTTCATTGAAGTAGAACAAGGAGCCATGATAGAGCCAACATTAACATTCATAAAAGATACATATTCAGTGACTCTTCAGGAGACGATCATCTTGATGTTCATTCGTGCTTGTTCTGTTAATGCGTTCTCACATTTATACTTTGATATCCGCCATCCACAAAGCAGTGACTTTCTTCCCCTCCTCTTGTCAGCCTCTGTGATACCAAAGACCTCCTCCTGATAGTTTTCCAGCCACCCAGAGCAGATTTTTTTTAGGTTGGTTGAGGAAGCAGAAGAGTTTGACGAAGCCATGAGATCCAGTAGAAATGAAGGATTGGATTTTGGCCATCATTTTGCAAAAGGAACCCTTCTGTTTTCTGGCCCAATCGGTGTGTACCTCAAAGAAGCAAAACCCCAGAAGCACTCAAGACAAAAAAAATCATGAAACACTTGTCAACAAAAAGTGGCCCACCCAAAGGCCATCAGGGAAGAAGTGAGGTGGACACCTCTTCAGGATGAGAGAGAGAGTGTGCTGTTTTAAGCTGTGACAACAAAAGTACAATGTCCAGCTCAAAGGAAGTAATAATATCACTCTGTTCTGCTTTGATCAAACTTCAGCTGGAGGATTTTGTCCAGTGCTGGGCAGAAGAGCTTAAGAAGGATGTTGACGACCTGGAACATGTCAGAGGAAGTCAGCTAAGATGGTCATGAGTCTGGCAACTGAGCCAGATATGGTTGAGAGAACTTGGTACATTCAACCTAGAGAAGGAAAGATCAGGAGATGGCATGATAGCCATCTTCAAGTATCTGAAGGACTGCTACATGGTAGATGGAGCGAACTTGCTTTGAATAGCTCTGCTGGGCTAGGAGCTCAACCAGTGGATTCCAATAACAAGAAAAGAGGTGGCATCTAAACCTTAGGAAAAGAATCCTAATGGTGGATCTGCTCCTCGGTGGCACAGCCACCCTGGAAGGTGGCCTCTCCTTCGTTGGAGAACTTTACACAGAGTTTGGGCGGCCACCAGATAGGGGGGGCTTAACTGTAGATTTATTGCCTCCCAAATCTATAGTTCTGTGATGCAATCAGAGAGAAGATCCATCCCCTGTTGCCATCCACTGTACTTCCGACAGTTAACGGAACAAAACAAGGACATATTTTCAAATGAGTGTTGGCTCAACGCTCATGGAAGGAACCAAGCTTTTTTCCCCTGCCAATTTTGACTGGACCCTACACGCTTAAATTCTCAGTTACTTTGCTTGGAAATGCCACCCATCCTATATAGTTGATCATTTTCTTTTTTAAATAATCATTTGCTTACAACAATGAAGAATAAATGTACGTCTCCTTAATGCTTTGGCTGTGGAAACAAATAATTCAAGCACAGCAGAAAATCCTACGGCGGAAACGTTACGACCATATGAAAGCAATTTCCAGGCTAACTCGGGGCTTCCAGAACATGATCAGAATTCACATCTTTGTCAAATAAATAAATTTGTTCAGATTGACCCAGCATGTATTTTGCCAGGCAGCTTGGCATGTGAACAACCTGCCCCCCTCCAATGCCATATTTAGCATTGACTCGCGTTGCCTATCAGTCGTCCTGTTTTTCCAGCTGGAATGTTGGATCGCTATCTTGAAATACATTGAGTGTGCAAAATCTTTTTTCCATACATTCCCTGTTAGTATTTTTATGGTGTTTATTTTTCTTTTTTTGGCCTTTCCCAAAACTGGCACACCACGTGTCAGAAATGCACATCACAAAAAGGAGATGTGGAGATTTCATCCGGGCGTGAATTTCCAGATTGCTGTCGCACACGCCATTTGGAATCCCAGCGAACGGGCAATAGCCTTCAACATCCAACTCCTCATTTCCGACGAGCTGTCATTATTTCACAGAGGGCCAAGTCGATATAAGTTGTCATTCCCCATTTAGACTAAGAAGCCTTCCGCTGTCACGTATGGCTGCCAAACTAATGTGCATCACTGTTTCCTCCTTCGTGTGGCTCACCAGCTTGCTGTTTCGCCCAAAGGGAGACTGTTAACCATGCTTCTCCGTGCCTTTCTTGGTCTGACCTCAGACAGTTGGCTTCAATCACAACTTTGCACTCAAGTAGCGACTCTTCTTTAAAATGCAGGGGGTGGAGTTTTTTTGTTTTGTTTTGTTTTTGCTGTAAGCTGATAGAAAATTCCCAAAACCTTTCCTTATATTTGAGTAATTTATCCATGGGAAATATAATCGTTTATGCTCTGCAACATGAAAGCAATTACTATGAAAAATGCACATTGTGCCATTGCAGTTAAGAGATGCAGTGGCTCTCTCTATATTTAATCATTCTGATGGCTGTGGTTTGCTATCCCAGGGCCTTCCAGAAGACAATGGTGATCCTCTCATCAAAAGCTCTCTGGTCATTTATTTGCTGTTCCAAGATTAAACTTGTAACTGGGCCGTTCTGAATTACTTGACTGTTATCAGTCGATACCATCCAGGAAAGGGAGTTTGCAGGGCTTGGCCGGGGGCCATGATCTCTTCCTGGGTTTGCACTTCTCGATAAAGATAAAGCTATTGGTCAGGGTGGGGTGGGGTGGGAGAGAAATCAACTCTGAGCAGAACACTTAGAAGCCAAGAACAACAACGAGGATTTTGCTTCAAAGGTTGGAGAAGGTGGTTATTTCATTTCCCTTCGGAAGCTCATCGTGCAGAAATGGGCGCACGCAAGCTGTTAACGTTTATGATCTGACTGCCGGGTGTGGCAGTCAAGAGTGGCTGGAGAAAGAGGAGATGGATTGAAGCTGAAGCTTGATTGTAAATGAAACATTTGCTGTTGGTGGGTTGTGTTGTTTTTTTAATTCCCCCAAACCAATGATTTCTGGGAATTGTAAAAGCATCTTGCTTCTTTGCCTTTCCTGCTGGGACTGGGTGTTCTGGTTTGCGAGCAGCAAAAATTGGACGTAAGGCAATACAGATAATGAGTTGTTTGTAATCAATTCTTTTTTTTTCCCCTCTGCAGTAACTGTAATGAAGTTGCACTCTGTGACTTTATGAGGGATAGCATCGAAGTAAAACAACATGTGCTGCTTACATACCTCCCCATAGCAGTTAAAGAATTCTCTGGGCAGTTTTACCCTTTAATTATACAGGCTATGCATTGCACATACCCACCCAGCAAGCTGGTACACTCGTTTTACCGACCTTGGAATGATGGAAGCCCGAGTCAACCTTGATCCAGCTACCTGAGACCTTTCTGATTTCAACTTTTTATTTCCTTTTATTAGGCTTTTTTAAAAAAAAGCATGCAGTTGGAAAAATAATGTGCAGTTGGAAAAAATAATGTGCAGTTGGGGAAAAAATGACCAGTTGGGAAAAATATGTGCAGTGGGAAGATGTGCAGTTGGAAAAAGACAGAGATAAACTCGGAAGAAATGGGGTGACTATAATAGTCAGGCATCAGGGTCTATCTCTCAGTTTCCAATTGCATTTTTTTCCTGACTCCACATTTTGTGTCCACTTTCACACTAAAAAAAAACTGCCTTTCATAATGGCAAGTATGCAGCCTCACTAAATAGTGGAGGAGGAACCTCCCATAGCTCAAAAGCTGACCCATTCTGGCCCTCATGCTTAACCAGGAAGCTCACTATTGTTATTGAGCCTGATCTACCTCGCAAGCTTGTTGTGAAGACGAAAAACAGATGACCTCCGTGGACAGACGAAGAATTTGTTGCAAATGTAATATGTTAAGAGCTTCTTCAGAAAAGCTTGCCTTGAAAACTCTAGGGCATGTCTTCTTTAGACATGAAAAACCACAGAGAGGATGATTATGTGATTCTGTGCTATGACTTTTGCATCAATAAAATCATCGGGTTGAAAATATTCACTATGCCCACAATGTTAATTAGGTTGCCTCGTGCCCTGGATGTTTGAACGGTGAGTGAATGTTGAACATCAGTCATGCTGTTGATTACTAAATGTGCTTTCTAGGCATTTAAGTGACCTGCAACTTTGCTAAATGTGTTGCCACCCTCATCCGTGAGCAGCTGGTAGATATATTCCTCAAATTCTAGATGACAAAATTTCAGATACTGCTTCATGCATCAGTTGAAGGAGGCAATAGACCTCACACTATGTGTTCAAATAAACATGGAAGTCTTTAAGCTACCACAATACTCCTGGCTGTTTTTAGGACTCCCTTGTAACCATGTAGAGGTTGGCTTTGGATCAGGTCGCTGCCTCTAAGTGGATCGTCAGTTGTGGTTCTTAGTTGTCACCTCACCTTGACTTCTGTCATGGCTTCTGCAGGTTGTGAAGCTGAAAGGCCAGGTGTTGTCTGTGATGTATCGCTTTCGGATCAAAAACCGGGAGTGGATGTTGATCAGGACCAGCAGCTTCACCTTTCAGAACCCGTATTCCGACGAGATCGAGTATATCATCTGCACCAACACGAATGTAAAGTACGTGGCTTGTCCTTTATGTGTAGAAGATTCTAACAAGCTTGTCCTGGATTTAGAATTGATCTGTTCCAAACCTTTACTGATGGGAAGATTGTATTTCGTTTTTATTAAAAGCAAGTTTTCAGGGTGTTCAGAAACCCCTTGCTTTTCACTTTGCCCCCTGTCCCTTGGACCGGGGAGCAAATCCTGTTCCGCAAAGAAGCTTGACTTGTCCGTTAGTTGAACTTTGTCTCAACGACGCCTTCCAGACCAATTTTCTCTGAATGTTTAAAAACTGGGTGAAGGCTGAAGTGTTTCAGGGGGCTGTGGAGCAGGATGGGTTGCAACCATGTAGGTTTTTATTTGCTTGCTGTTTTTGGTCTACCACAGCTGATTCACTTCAGCCCGATATTTTGTTCCTCTAAGTGGTTTTTATGCCTGCGGTTTTATAGCCTGTGCGTTGTGCTTGTTTTTGCTCTTTTACTGTTCTGTTGTTGTGAACTACATACCATCAGAAGGGCTTGACCGGGATCCAGAAAGGAGATATAAATTTGACAATAAATTATTGTCCGGTTCCATGTGGAGCAGAAGGCTCCGACATCCACAAACAAACTTCTCTTTCTGTATCATCTGGCGTTTAAATTAGGTGCTGCGCTCTGTGCCAGACCAGCTTGTTTCCTTCCAAGGCTGCATGTATAGGCATCGCAGGAGCGTCTGAGAGAAATGAATCGGCAGATCTTGTCATATTTATCCTCATTTGGCCTTGCCTGGCAAAACAGGCCTAACTTGTTACCCGAATATGGGGCTTGGCAGCAGGCAGATCTCCAGCCAAATACATTGCTGTTCTTCTCTTTTAAGGAATTGATGAAGGGGGTTATGACCTTGCTCCCTTTTTTTTTTTTTTAAAGAAGAATACTGGCAGAGCTGCTGGAGAATTTAAAATAGTAGAAGGATGTAAGATGGCCAGATCATTTCATTTTGGCAGAGTTTCCCATTATTTAGAGCAGTGTCCGGTCTTGCCATGGGCGATGACTGGTGCCATAAAATCAATTTCAAATTCAGAGCTGTGTCTGCAAAGCATCACACTTAAATGTGGCTTTTCAGGAGGCTCACCGGATGGTGCGATGTCTTGTCTGTTCTGCAGTAAACTGGGGGATTTCACTTTCAGACAAACACAAAATAGAAGCTTTTGGAACGTGGTTTATCGTGGGATGCTAAGGGTTTCTCGGACTGCGAGAACAACCCCTTGAAGTATTAAAGCAAATAAGTAAAGACCAAGGATGCAGAAAACACATAAAATCCAGAAGGCTGGACTCGCTTGGAAACCCAAACAAGAAATTGATTTGGTCCACTGGCCCATCTACACTTACGTTGTTGGCACTGGCTAGCAGCCATAGTGTTCCGAGATCCAGACTGGATTTTCTCTGGATTTTCAGAGCAGTTTGAATTCAGGACAGAAATAGGATCCAGGCAGGATCCAGATTATTGCAGATCAAATTGCAATGCATTCCAAAGTGCCTTAAGATCCTCTGAACTGAATTAGGGGACCTGTCCAATCCTAAGATTTCTGCCTAAGAACCTTGAACATCTCTCTCCGTCAGCGTAGGGTAGACAGGCAAACAGTGTTACATTATATTCGTCACAGACCTATGTTTCTCTCAGTCAGCCTCTCCCAAACTGGTGCCCTTCCAGTGCTTTGGACTCCATCTCCCATTATCCCCAGCCAGCATGGCTAAGAGTCAAGAGGTCTGGGATCTGAGCTTGAAACATCAAGAGGGCACCAGGCCGAGTTGAAGCAGAGAGATGCGGGGTTCAGAAAACCGTTTTGTCCGTCCTGTTGATGGGGGGTCACCGATTGGGTTTTGTCAGTTCTGTGATCGATCAATCTCTCTCTGTGTGTCTCCAAAATGGTCAAGCTAAAAATGAAATTGGATAAGATTTGTATTTAAAAAACTGAACTGTAGGGGGCGCTGCTGATTACAAGAGGTGGATGTGTTTATGTGCTTCCTGCCTTCCGGCTGGAAGCTTTTCTCGGCTTTCTCTGTGGAAAGACAACTAAACATTAAGTTCAAATGTTCACTTATTTTGCCCGAGAGTTTGTTTTGAGAGTTTGTTTTGAGCCTTGGAATCCAAGCTGAACTTCCTGGCAAGGCCAGGCATTGCATGTTTAGCATTTTGGGCTCTGCTGGGCTGCAGAGGAGCATCGCACAGAAAAAACACACAAAAAACTAGCCCTTCTCCCGTCGCTTTCCATTTCCGTATTAACTTTGCTTGATTTCCAGCAAAAGAAAATATGGCAAGCGAACCCGTTTAGTTCACCAGCTATGCTGACATGGGGTTTGGCTTTTGCATCCTGTTTTTGGACCTATGGAAGTTTCTGGACATTTTTCAAAAGCACAACCCACACACGGAACATGTTACCGTAATCCGCCCTCCGTGTTACGAACACATGTGGGATTTGGGACGGGTCCATGGGTTGATCCATGCAAGGAAATGCTAGGAGGATAACGAGTAGTTCACGAATTGGTTCAATGAATCAATGAAGCACTTTTGAAATGATTGAAAAGAGAATCCTACTTCACGGGAAAGCAGATTTTTGAGTTTTTTTTAAAGAAATCATTTTTAATATCCTCATGGGCCACCAAGCCAGTTCTGATTGATGCCAAGCATCTTTAGAGTTTCCCAGGGAGAGAATGCTCAGAAGTAGTTTTGAGTGTCTGGGGTGCCCTGGGATGGTGCAGCTGGCCCAAGGCTACACAGGCTGGCTCTTCTCCCTGATGACCCAGTGGGGGAATCGAACTCCCAACCTTTGGCTCTGCAGCCAGATGCCTAACTCACTGACTATCTAGCCAGCTCCAGTTTTAGTATACCCCTGTTTAAATGTAAAAAAAGTTGTGAAGATAGGTGTCTTTTTAGAAGAAGAGTTTCTTCCCAGAAGGGTCCAGTCATTAGAGCAGCATTGTAAAAGACTATGACTAATAAAGTTTTGATTCCAGTTTTAATATACCCCTGTTTAAATGTAAAAATAAGTTGTGAAAATAGGTGTCTTTTTAGAAAAAGAGTTTCTTCCCAGTAGGGTCCAGTCATTAGAGCAGCATTGGTTAAAAGACTATGACTAATAAAGTTTTGATTGATTGACAATAACAATACATCATTCTGGAATCAGAGGATTTGTATATATAGAGAGAGGACCCTCCTGCCTCTCAGATTAACCTGGATCTCTAGAGTTGGCCAAGAAATGTAGAGAACCAGGGGTCAGCCCTTGGGTTGGATAATGAAGTTTATGGTGTTTAGCTTGGCCCATCCACTGCTTAACCCACATTTTTTGAAGGTTGAAAGGGGAGAAGAACCACAGAGGCTGCCTTCGACTCTTCAAAGAAAACTTCAGTGGATATAATGGGAATAAACAAATAAATTCAGTTTTCTCTTTAGGCCCATGCATTCTCTGGACACAAGGTCTATCATTTCTATAGCAAAGGTTTTTTTTTTTAAAAAAAGTGGGTGTAGATTCAGTCAAGTGGTCAGTTGAAACTCATGTGATTGTAGCGAAGAACTTTTAATTTGACAGCAGACCCAACATCCACCTGTGACAACTGACGATGTTCATATGGAGAAGGGGGAAATGTATAGGAGCCAACCCTACGGGTTTCAAAGGAAAACCGTTTCCTGGCATTTATCCAAAAGCACCTGACACCGGACGCAGCTTATGTTGGCCTTTGAAGGATTTGCTGAGGCATTTCGGAAAGATTGCTCGACCCTCTTCCGGGTTTATTTCAGTTTCCTTTTAATGCTCATGTCAGTTTCGTTTGAAGCCGTCCCTGTGGCTACGGCACATTTTCATTTGTTTCCAAAAGTTTTAATAACTGGATTAGGGCTGGAACCTGCAGGATCGCCTCGTGCCTTCAAATAGCTCGATTTCCTTTCCTTAGATAAGTCTTCCCTTTTGAAGGTTCTTTAGCACTCATCTCAAATTGGGCTTTCCTTTAAACTGGGGGAAAAAAATGAGTTTATCGATGCCATGCCTTGATAGCACAATTACCGTATTTTTTGCACCATAAGACGCACTTTTCCCCCACAAAACAGGGGGGTGGAAAATCTGTGCGTCTTATGGAGCGAAAAATACGGTAACACCAGGAGACGTTTGGAACCATTTGGAGTCCTGTGGCAAGAAACATGGGCCAATCTGTCTTCGGGCTGTCGCTTTGGCTATCATCAGGGTGGATTTGATAAATTGATAAATAAAAATTTGACACCCATATTTTTTTCCGAAGTTCGTTCATTCGTTAACAATTTGACACCCATATTTTTTTCTGAAGTTCATTCGTTCACACCGGGAGACGTTTGGAACCATTTGGAGTCCTGTGGCAAGAAACATGGGCCAATCTGTCTTCGGGCTGTCGCTTTGGCTATCATCAGGGTGGATTTGATAAATTGATAAATAAAAATTTGACACCCATATTTTTTTCCGAAGTTCGTTCATTCGTTAACAATTTGACACCCATATTTTTTTCTGAAGTTCATTCGTTCATTCATTCCTTCCTTCGAGAAGGATGTGGCCTGCCATTTTTTAAAAAATGCTCCTATTGCCAAGACAGAAAAGTTCACTGGGGTTTTCAGATAGGTCACAGTTGTTGCTCTTGCTGCTACTAAAGAATATAAAATAAAGGCTTCATGCAGAGTCAACTGAAAAGGCTTTGGAAAAATACCCAGAAATCCAAGTACTGGAATTTGGATGATGTTTTCTTTGGTCATATTATTCATTTCTTTGAACACTTTGTCCCAAAATGCCTTTACTAGAGGACATGACCTCTCACAGGAAGACAAGTAGATCAATCTCTCCAGCATTTATCGTATTTATTTGATGCTGATATGAATTATGTATTTTGCATGGTGTCTTGATAAAGGAGGTTAGCGCCAGTGAGACCCTTCCTCAGAGGTTGATTCCCACATGCCTTGGCCATTCACTTATGGGCTCACTGCCTCCAGAAATAAAACCCTTCCTAAAGGAAACGTCTACTGGCATCCTTAAATTCATTTCTTAGGGTGCCTTTAATTTAGCCAGGCACCAGTCCACCGGGATGCAAAAAAAAGGAAATAAAGAAAGCAGGGCTACTATTAGTCTAATTGAGAAGATGCTTCTGTCAGCCTCTGTCTTCTGCTAGACCTGTGAAAACAATGCAACATGTTAAGGAATGCATGCAATGAACAACCTGTGTATGTGTTTACATCTTTCCTTTTCCCTCCGCACCTTCTCTTCCTTTTGTGCTGTTGTTTTCGAGTTGTTCACCTGACGGCAGGGACTGCCCTGTCTTTTTGATTGATAACTAAGCCAGCCTGACCACTGCAGAGCAGGCGATAAAGGTGATCAGTGGATCTGTAAGCAACAGGCGATGGAAATCCATAACTTCTGTTTCTGGTTTCCAGACAACTTCAGCAACAACAAGCTGAGCTTGAAGTGCACCAGAGGGATGGGCTGTCATCATATGACTTATCTCAGGTGAGATATACCTGGTTAGTTGATCTCCTCTTGATTTACAAGGGGACTAGTTCAAAGGATCTCAACTGGACTGTGTTTTGCATTGCCTGCCTTTTATGACAGTAGCTTGATGAGTCCTTTCTTGGGGTTCATACTAAGAATATGTGTATATGTATATGGGTCATATGGTCCCCATGGTCTGGAAATGACCATGTAGCTTGCGGAGGTGTGCATTTTTGGGGGGATTATGGTAGGAGTAGCCCAAAGCTACAAATCAGCAAACCTCTGTTTTTACCTATGGCAAATAGGTCCCTGTTCCAAGTATACAATCTAACGTCCACGAGGGTGGGAAGGCAGTGGAGAAGCCTGACGCCATTTTCTCTCAAGAGAGAGATCCAAGGTTTGCCGAGATGTTTGCAGGCATCACTACGTGTAAGTAGAAGTTCTCTGCTCTTAAGTTTCTCTGTTTTTCATTACTTCTGCGTCTTCTAGCTGGAGGAGTCTGGGAATGATGTTGCAAAAAAGGGATTTCCCTGCCCCGTGCATTGCCTTACCCGAACCCTGAATATCTATTGTCCATCCAAAGACTTCCCCCTTCCCCTTGATTTAACCAGGCTTGTTGCGTAATAAACACGTATTCGGAAGCAGTGAAGCAACAATCTGTTCTTTTTTTTCCAAAAAGAAAAGTGTATATCATCCAGCCAGAAAAGTGGCTCACAAAAAAACCCTGATTGTTTGGGACCAGCGCCAAGGTCCCAAACAATCAGGGTTTCCATTTCAAGGTGGGAGGCCGTTCTCTCCTTCCCCAAGGCTAGTCCCACGGTGCAGGGCTGACAAAAATTGAGTTGTGTAAGCAGCCAGCCAGAGGTCAATTGAGGACCAAACAGCCAAGTCTGGGGCAGGCAGGATCAGCACCCTTGGGAGGAAAGCGGCTGGAGGCTGATGAGAGGATTCTTCTACAGCAGAATGCTTTCCTCAGACTAAAGGTCCAGGCCCAGAATTTGCCTTTTGTAAGCCCTGTGGAGCCAAATTGGACTCTTGAGGTCAGCTCTCCTAAGTGTTCTGTTGGCGGGCAGGATGAGGATCAATGGTTCCTCATCTTGGGGTCCCCAGATGTTCTTGGACTGCAGCTCCCAGAAATCCTGGCCAGCACAGCTAGCAGTGAAGGCTTCTGGGAGTTGCAGTCCAAGAACATCTGGGAATGCAAGGTTGGGAACCATTATTATCGATCAGTGGTTCCCCAACCTTGGTTCTCCAGATGTTCTTGGACTAAAACTCCCAGAAGCCTTCACCCCTTGCTGTGCTGGCCAGGATTTCTGGGAGTTGCAGTCCAAGCACCTATGGGGTCCCCAGTTTGAGAACCACTGTTCTAAATGGTTTCCTCAAAAGGTAACCAGTGATATCCTTAAACTCCTCGAGAGAACCCCTCCACACAAGTATGCTCTGTAGAACATCTAGTTCTGACACAACAAGTTACTTGCAATCAGTTCCATTTCTCCCCAGAAAATGTAAGACATAAGAAAGCAACATTGCAGGCAAAGCTCTGCCCTTTTTGCCATGTAATTTTAACCTTTTGAGGTTCTTCCAGGATGGGGCCTTCCTGCTAAGTGTGTTGTCTACCCTAGGCTTGTTATCATTGTGGCTTTTTAGCAAGTCCTTCTTTTGGTTAGCATTTGAGTTACAGATGGGAAAATACATTTTTCCCCCAATGCAATGTTCCTCTTCGTTAACTCCTTTGGAGCCATGAATCTGTAGCTAATTTGTTTCCAACAGTAACTTTCTCCACGCTTTAGCTTGACGTTAAAGGAAAATAAGACATAAATAATGATCGTTAAAGGGATAATCTTATATCCTACAAAGAAGCTGAGAAGCACATGGCTCTGAAATGAGTTACTTGCAATCAACTTTTTTTAATCAGCAAATAACTCTAGTCATTTTTTGGAGATGGAGAGAGAAGAGGTGTTATCTTTTCAAGAGGTTTCATAGAGGTATAAGATTTTAAGTCTTCTCTGTATCTTGTTCCTAACCTTCCCTGCTGTGGATGAAGCTTCTGCAATCATTAGGCATTAATCATCCTGCAAATAGTTCTTAGCTAAGACAGAAACATTCAATTCTTTCTCGCTAGAGAGATACAGGGCTGTTCCCATGCAGGCACAGAGTGATCTTCTGTCCAAAGAGGAAGAATGTTAATTTCAACAGTCACCTCTTGCCGAGGTGAGGTTGCCTGACTCAGGCGCGGTGCCCACATGGCGCTTTGTCTCGTAGGCACTCACCTCGCCTCGTTTTGACAGGAAGCTCCCAGAAACAACCTGAAAGAAAGGCAGGTCTCGGAAGGTCACCTGGTTCAATTCCATTAAGCACTTTAAAGGGGAAACTCAGTCCTTTGAAACGGACCCCCCGGAACAGACTGGAAGCTGGGGCCATGGATAAAGAACTGCCATAATATGTTCCCGTTGTCCGATCCCGGTTAACGGTCTTGCTGTCTTGTCTGAATTGTGCTGAGGTTGCCAGATCATTTTCAAAGGGGAGCCCCATGCACAGTGCTTTGGAGTAATCTAACCACGAAGTTCACAGAACACAGGGACCCCTTTAAAGGCGCAAGGAATGTATGAAGCTAAGGGGATAAAATTTATTCTTTTGGCCCTTTATGGGACCAACTGTAAACCTCACCATCTAGGCCCGTGGCCCCCAACTTTGGGTCCCTGGGTATTCTTGAATTAAAACTCCCAGAAGTCTCCACCACTGGCCGGGAGTTCTGGGAGTTGCAGTCCAAGAACATCTTGGGAGCCAAGGTTGGGAACTGCTGGTCTACAGTAAGAAAGGAGAACACTTGTGTTTCTCATCTCGGGCTCTGTCACACACACACACACACACACACACACACACACACACACACACACACACACACACACACACACACACACACACACACACACACACACACACACACACACAATTCTTGCAACTCAAACTAGCAGAGTTTAACTCACACTCCAAGAACCCTGTTTTCCTAGAAAACATGACCTACATCTCCCTTTGGGGCAGGTTTGACCAAAAAGACCACCCTACCAAAAAAGATGGGCTTTGAAACTCATGTGTGACTTTTGCTTTTGATTTTCTGCCCCTTCTGATGCCAGGACACAGAGAGGGACTGGAGATCCGATGGGGTAGAAACTGGTCTCTGGACCGGCCAACGTTCTTCCTTCCTGCTTTAGGGAGAGAGCATCTCAGTTCTCCAAGCCATGGTGAACCTCCTTGGCTTGGGTTGAGAAAAAGGGCCATTTACAACCCCCGTGTCATGTCTCCAGAACCGCCAAAGAGTCTCACAGCGCTTTGCTTTGTTTATACAAGCATGTGGACTCTCCGCATGTCTGCCTGATGATGTTTTACTCTGTGCATCTGAAGAACTGGGCTGAAGGCCACCAACCCTTATGCCAAATAAAACATGTTGCTAAGCTTTGCTTGGGGCTTTTGCTGCTGTGTAATAATGCTCACACACTGAAAGTGTCTGTGTCTTGCTTGGTTTGTGTCTTGATTTATTTGCCCCCAGCTGGCTTCATAGCTCTATGGTTTAGGTCTCTGGCTGTGGAGCCGGATCGTGGGAGTTTGATTCCTCCACTGTGCCTCCTGGGAGGAGAGCCAGCCTGGAGGGCCTTGGGCCAGCTGCACAGTCCCAAGAAGAAGGAAAAGGTCAACCATTTCTGAGTACCCTCTACCTAGAAAACTCTGTAAGGGGTTACCATAAGTCAGATCTGACTTGATGGTGCACAGTTGTTGTTGTTGTTGTTGGCTCCCATTCTGGCTGTTAACATGGTCTAGTTCAGAACATTTACGGTCTCCATGGATTTAATTACATAAAATAAGAAGTCATTGTATTTTTGCATCAGCCTTCCAGATATTGCTGAACTACCATGCCTATCATCCCCCACTATGGTTAAGGCTGGTTGGGGCTGATGGGAGCAGGAGTCTGACCCACCATGTTAGGCCAGAGGTTCCCCAGCCTTGACAAACAGGCAAAACGTTGTGTTACTTTTAGGCATTTGCATGATGTTGACATTGGACGGATTTCTCCAGGTTCCGTTTGTGCAAACAGCTGAAGCTCGCACACAGGAGCTGATCTTTCAGGGGACACGGGCTTTCCAGCCGTCAAGCACGTATCTTAGCAGGGAAACAGATCTATTTGTGCTACAGCAATATGTTTATAAGCAGTAGAACTTATAAGGCAGGGATTGGGGATATACAGGGCTGTGTATGTATCTACATTCCTTCCTGAAAGTTGATGATTGAGAAATAAGAAAGTTTCCCTTACTGAAAAAGAGAGTCAAATGCCAGGTGGGGAAGCCTCCCGAGCTGGCTTTTCCTTCACCTCCAGTGAACTGAACAGGTTTTGTCCTGATTTGCAGCTCCGTAGTTGTATTTCAACAGAAATGAGTTTTCAGTGGTTTTGAAATGTCTTCTGAGAATCCAGAGTTCTGTAGAATATTGCAGTTGTTTCTTAATGCACTGTATTGCGCTGAGCATTTCTTACTGCTCATGGCCTAGACAAATAAGCCCGAATTGGGCTATGTCATCCTGTAAGCTTTCATGGGCTGCACCTCATACTTGAACCAGCTCGCTCCACGACTTGTTCCTGCAGGAGACAAGCAAACAGGCTTTAGAACACACTTCGCACTGCTTATGGGTCACACCAACTTGACAGGGCTCCCATTCGTAGGCCTGACTCATGGCACGTCCTTAAAAAAACACCAAAAAAAATTGTGGAAGTGAAGGCAAATGGCAGCTTAGGTCAAGTTGGAGTAAAAGCAACCAAGGATGCTGCCTTAAAGCAGGTCATATTATTTCCCCATCTTAAACTAGCTCAGATAATCAGACCGCTCTGTGGAGGTTGGAGAATTCAGTGCAATGTGCTCCCAGTTTTAGTCTCAAGTTTACAAGAGCTGTCCAAGGTGCTGAAAGCTGTTCAGGAATGGATTTACTGTTGTCCCCATCACAGCATCAAAGGCAGTGACAATTTATTCAAGTGGTATATGTTCTTGACAGTTATTCAAGCAGGTTGTCATCATCAACAGAGCTGGAAGGGACTCTATGTATAATCAAGTCCAGCCTCTATCGAGGCAAAGTGGGGAGTCAAACTCCCAACCTCTGGCTCTGCAGCCAAAGACCAAAATCATTGAGCTATCCGGCAGCTTTGGTACATCTAATTCAATATTTTCTACTTGGACTGACAGCGACACTCAAGAGTCAACCGTTTCTCTTTGCTCATCCTTCTTAGAACCACTAGCTCTAGTTAGCTTTGAACATGGCTTGTTAGGAATAAAGGAAACCATCTTATCTTGAATCAAACCATGTGTCCTTCTAATTTCATGTCATTTGCATGACTGATGACAGCTCTCTGGGATTTGAAACAAGCTTCCACACACAAACTATAGACTCCATGGCCACAGTTTGGAGAAGTTTTAAGGGGGAAGACACATTCCATTCAGTTGTCCTGACCCTTTCCTTTCTCCTGTGTGTTCCAGCAGCAGATAAAAAGATGATGTCTTCAGCATCCACAGCTGGAAACCAGCAGATCTATTCACAAGGAAGCCCCTTCCAACCAGGACATTCAGGAAAATCTTTCAGGTATGGTAGATCCAGGCAGAAGCTAAGACATTGCACCATCAGAGTGGCAGATCATGCCGAGCGCTTTTCCTTGGTGGTGATAGGACTGAGTTTTTCCCTGTTGAGAAAAGTCAGAGTTGGCACCATCCAGAAATCTAGTGGAAGATTTCAGGCTAGGGTTAAATAAAAACAACCAAGTTAAAACAATTGAAAACAGTTATACAATAGGAGAATAAAATCCATAAAAGTCCAAAAGAACAACAACAAACAACAGCTTGTGATCACTGAGTCTGAAATGAGCAACCCAAGTTCAGACTCGGGGCTGAAATGAAGCCAAATTTGGTTTCATCAAGGGTGTGTATGTGTTCTACCTCCAAGAAGACCCTCTCTTGTGGTGGGTACCTGGGACATATACTGGTAGAGCCCCACTGGCAGATCTTTACAAGATCAACATGGAGAGGGACTTCCTCAAGATTTGAGATGTTGATCCCTTTAAAGGCAATGGTCCCCAACGTTGGATCCCCAGGTGTTCTTGGACTATGGCTGCCAGAAGCCCCAGGCATCATAGTTAATGGTGAAGGCTTCTGGGAGTTGCAGTCCAAGAACATCCAGTGCTTCGTTCATGTGCAAATTTGTGCAGAGTTCGTTGGCTAAAGAATTAAGAGTTTGTTGGCTAAAGCTTGTGCATCTAATCCATGAAGATACATATATTTGGGTTGCAACCTTGCTTAGAGGGTGGAACTAGGGAAGCAACACAGCAATTGAAAGAGAGAGAGAGTTAGCAAATTAACCAAGTGCTGCAAAAGGTTCGGTACCAGCATTGCTCTCGAGGAGGTGTGAAAAACTGGGGTTCTTCAGATGTTATTCCCACCATTCCCAATGAGCATAGCTAAGCGATTATGAGGCCTGTTGTCCAGCAGTGCTTGGAGAGTCACCTGCCCTTAGCAAATTAACCAAATGCTGCAAAAGGTTCACTACCAGCATTGCTCTCGAGCAGGTATGAAAAATTGGGGTTCTTCAGATGTTGATTCCTACCATTCCCAATGAGCATAGCTAAGTGATTATGAGGCCTGTCATCCAGCAGTGCTTGGAGAGTCACCTGCCCTCAAGGTGTTTTGTGTGCCATACTCAGTATCTGTACTGTCAATTAAATTCACTACCAGGTTTTTTCCATTTTCCCTTTCAAGTTCATCTGTGGTCCATGTGCCTGGAGTCAATGACATCCAGTCCTCATCCTCAACGGGCCAAAACCTGACTCAGATCTCCCGCCAGCTCAGCCAGAACCAAGTCGGCTGGACAGGAAGCCGTCCTCCATTTCCTGGACAGGTAGGAGAGTTTATTAAAAGTGCTGTCTTCCTATTCCCTCCTTTGGGTTTAAAAAAGTAAGTTAAAATCTCTTTCTAATGTGAAACCAAACACTGCAGGGGCATCCCGTTTTAAAATAAAAATTGCTTGGTGAACTGAATTACCAATGGCCATAGACCAGGAGTGTGTCTACACCAGTGGTTCTTAACCTTTGTTACTCGGGTGTTTTTGAACTGCAACTCCCAGAAACGTCAGCCGGTAGAGCTGATGGTGAAGGCTTTTGGGAGTTGCAGTCCAAAAACATCTGAGTAACAAAGGTTAAGAACCAGTGGTCTACACAACACCGTTCTAGCAGTTTGGTCCTGCTTTGCTTACCCTGGCTTCTTCCTAGGGAATCCTGGGAGTTGTAGTTTGGTGAGGTTGCCAGACTTTTGTGCTGTAGTTCAAGTCTAGAGCAGAGAAATGCTTGAGATGAACTGAAGAGGCGTCAGTGACCTGGAAATTGGGCTTCATTTAGGGCACCACGCTCAAAAGGCTTGGCGAAACCAGGAAGGAAAAAGAACAAAGGGGGCATGGCAGGGAACAGCCCTACCCACCTGCCTTCAGTAGGTTGGACTTCATTGCCCTCTGAACCTGCATTGCTGCACCTGACAAAGGTGGGAAATGTCCATATCACGATCTCTTTAACATTGCTTCTTGCACAACCGGAGGGGAATATTCTCGCACCACCGTGTTCTGGCTTCCAAACTGCAGGGCAGTTGTGCATTTTTATCCTGTTTGTCCCTCTCTTTCGCTCCCTGTTCAGCAAATTCCGTCCCAGTCTGGGAAGACGCAGTCTTCTCCCTTTGCCATCGGAACCAGCCATTCTTACCCCACCGACCCGGCCTCCTACAGCCCCCTGGCAAGCCCCACCACCTCTTCTCCCAGCGGGAATGCTTATTCCAGCCTTGCGAACCGGACATCAGGATTCGGTAGGTGTCACGCCTGGCTGCCTGGGCTCAGTGGGTCCTTCCGGCTTCCATCCATGTGTTCACACAGCCTCTTTGCACTCAAGGTGGTGTCCAACGAATAGCCAGGATGGTGAGATGAAGAGAAAGTTCAAGTAGGATTTGACAGGCGTGGGCTCAATGTTCACCTTGGCCAGGGAAATCAGTGGGAGAGCTGGGACTGTTCACACTTTCTTGGACTCACCTACCTTTTAGGATTGTTGCAATGCTAGGAGGAGGAACAGAAGTCTGTGTGCTGCTTTGAGCACAAGGTAGGGAAATAGGTAGAGATACAGTATAGAGTCTAATGAGATGGACGGACGGACGGACAGACGGATGGATGGAGAAAGAGAGAGATGGATGGATGGATGGATGGATGGATGGATGGATGGATGGACGGACGGACGGACGGACGGACGGACGGACGAACCATTATAGTGTTTAGATCACATTCATTCATTCATTGTATTACCTTTTAAGAAAATTGAAATTAACAGAAATTGCTAGTTATGAGTTACAATTAATGAATTAATGATTAAAATAACGATTATTTATCTTTGGCCTTGATGCCATCTCCTCTTTTCCTTATTAATTGTGCGATAAACCCCTTTGCATCCCAGTCCTATGGAAAAAGCAAAAGTCAGAAATCACATAAATAAAATGTTCCAACCAAGATAGTCACTTTCGCCACCAACCATTTCAAAGCACGGCATGTCACCGAGGTGGTTGCAAGTCAGCAAACTTGAAAAGCTGCCTCTCGAGCCCAGGGAAGTTGAGCTGATAGTTCAGGACAAGGCAGTGAATCAGAGGGTGAGAAAGTGCGTGCCAAGAACAAAAGGTGAAAAGGGATCACTCGAATACCAAAGCATACAGTAAGCGAAAGGGCTTTTAAAATTTTTTGATTTCTGTTTGCAAGTCAAACAAGAAGGACCTTGGGCCTCCCCTGAGATGGTCTTGATCAGAACAAGTGTTTTGCTGTGGCTTGATCAGACTTTGGATCTGGGTCCTTCTTCAGTAATTATAAACCGAATCCTTTAATGAATCATTCTCTCCGGATTCCTGTCCACCTATGAAGTCAGGATGTGCAGGGATATACAAAAAGGACTCCTCTTGATTATTTATATTTATTAGTTAATGGTATATCTCTTCTCTCCTCCAGCGGTCTCAAGTAGCCTACACGGCAGACTTCCTTCCTGCTTTATGCTCATAAAGGTCCTGGGGTGTTAGTCGGTCTGAGAAACAATAGTGCAAAATCAGTCTGTGAGTTTCATAGCTCTTGAGGACTAGAAAACTGAGTTGTTCCCACTCTAGTCCTCTGGCCGGTTTACCGCATCGACGCTCCTTAATTTCAAGCTAGCAGGACTAGCGTGAACCACGTTCGTCAATTTGCCAGGTTGACTCCCGTCTTTGCTCCCCAAAATGGAACCTGATTATTTTAAGCAAACCTAAGGAATCCATGAACAATTACTGGAATGGAGGTCAGGCCAGGACTGGCCCAGGTGTTAGACAGATGCTTTGGGGGTTGGGGAGGGTTGGCTCTGTTTGTCTCTAGAAAAAAAATGAGACGGCGCATTTCAAAAGAAGATGCTCTTTTATTTTATTTTACGTTTTCCAGCCGAGAGCAGCCAAAGCAGTGGGCAGTTTCAAGGGAGGCCTTCCGAGGTCTGGTCTCAGTGGCAAAGCCAGCATCATAACCAGCAGAACAGCGAGCAGCACCCACACCAGCAAACGAGCCAGACGGAGGTGTTCCAGGTGAGCCAAAACCACGCCGTTCCTGGGACTTCAGGAACACGAGCAGTGTGAACCTGACAGTCTAATGGCCAGATTCCCTGCTTCCTGTGGGCAGGAGGCAGTGGGAGGTAGTGGCTAGTGCCTGGGAGAGCCAGTTTCGGGCCCACAAAGCTGAGCCTTACAAAACAGGTGGGCAGCTCCCCTCAGCTTATGGGGAGCCATCGGTTTCAATGAGTTTTTGGTTTCTGGGTGCAGAACTAGAGGTTGGGAGTAGAGATGGGCACGAACCAATTCCTCCCGGTTCGTCCCAGTTCGTAAAGGTGGGAGCACAGGCGCTGCTGTTCTTTCAGCTGATCTAGCCATTCACCTGGCCCAGCTTGCTTGCTTTTCCCGCCTCCTCGGCTGATCTGCCAGTCACGAGCAGGAGCACAGGCTTCTCTGCCCCGCCCTTTTCTCTGAGTGGCAGATCAGCCAGGAGGGCGGGGCAAATAAGCCTGAGCTGCTGCCGGGACTGGAAGATCAGTTGAGGAGGTGCCGGAAGTGACCACACTGGGCCTGGTGAGTGGCTGGTTGAGGTGAGGGAGGGGAGCAGCCGCATCTGTGCTGCCGCCTTGACGAACCGGGACGAACCAGTTTGTGCCCATCTCTAGTTGGAAGTTCACTTCCTCACAGTGTGTCTGTCCTTGATGGGATGGACTTGATGACCCCAAGGGTCCCTTCCAAGCCTGCAGTTCTGAGATGATGATAATGCCTCTTAAACTTCCAAGTGTTAGGGCCTGGCCAGCATTCCAAGGCATTGTGGGAAAAATTAAAAAGACAGTTCAAATATGTGTAACGTGAGGGCCCCCTGGGCATATAGAGAGCTTCATGACACTGCTGTGTCGGCACTCCTTCTGGGATGTGGCTACAAAGGTATGGTCTCATCCTTGATGGAAAAAGACACTGAGACACAGTGTGGCATCCCATGAAAATGGATGGATGGATGGATAAATAAATGCATTAAAAATGAGAAAAGATTGCTTACCATTTATTAATGTTTTTTTTAAAAAAAAAATTATCTGGTACACTGCAAAGAAAGTTTGCTTACCATTTATTAATGCTTTTTTAAAAAATTATCTGGTACACTGCAAAGAAAGAACACTTGTTTTGCTTGACATGCAAAATGACCCTTAAAAAAAAAAAACAGGTTTCACCCAAGATAAGAAAACTGACATTTTATTTTATTTATGCTTTCCAGGACATGCTCCCCATTCCAGGAGATCCGACCCAAGGGACTGGCAATTACAACATTGAGGATTTTGCAGATCTGGGCATGTTTCCTCCATTTTCTGAGTAAATTTATCTAGGCAGATAACCTCGGGAATTATGTCCAGGGAGAAGAGCGGGAAGAGACCCACCCAGACATAGTTTGGACTCTGCTTGTTCTGTTTTAACTTATCGTAGCTGCTCTTAAACGTGCCGTCTCCATTCTCATCTTTCAGATAATAACTTGGCTGTCCTTCCAGATGTGGGCCATGGAGGTTCTGAGGAAATAACGAAGGCCCGCTCCCCTTTGGGGTTCCAGTTAGGGTTCATTGCGTCATCTCATTTCCATTTTGTGTAGAAGGTGGGGGGTTTGATTTTTGTGTAGAGGGAACGGCGCTTTGATTGTAAACTTTCTCTTAACTTTTGAATGTGAACCATTCCGTAACTTTCCCTTTTAGAGAAAGTTGTTTGTGTAAATAGATAATGTGATAAGAAAAAAACTCCCAGTTTGCACCATTACTTGAAAATCAGTCCTGTAGATTTTGAGAGGGAGAGCCAGGGTACCTCTGTGGGCAGAGCGTGGGGCTCTCAGCTGGCATGAACTGCAGAAGGGTGTCTAAGCCCGGCCATCTTGATGATCTTGTGTAGTGGAAGAGGAACCACTGTGAACAGTTGGTTTAAAGCGAGCTTGACAGTGAATTCCATAGCTTGAGTCCCCCCTCCCTGCATTCTTGATAACCTTCCCGTGGAGCTATCCGAGGTGCTGAACTGTCCCCCACCCATATTCAGGACCCTGGAGAGCTGCTTTCAAATTCAAAATGAAACCCAGAACGGATTCACTGCCTGGTTGACCCTGGAATAAGCCATCCTCTCCTGAATGTGTGTGCGAAGGACCTTCACCCCCTCGCAGCTCCGCCATTCCTTCTGGCTCACATTGGAGTGCCTCATTTTTCCAGCTTCAGAACCAACTCTTTTAGAATGTCATTTTAGGCCCGTTTCAATGCAAGGCTAGTTTCTAGCCAGGAAAACTAGCAAGCTCTCTGATGCCTTTTTCCCCTCTCATTTTAAGCCAGCTAAACTTGAATGTGTGTGTGTACATTTTAGTACAGTCTGTATATTGTGTTGTACGGAGTGAATGTCTAGAGAGGGAAGGAGGGAGGGAGGGGTGTTTCATCTCAAGATTTTATTTAGTCCTATAAAAGAAAAAGGAAGTGAACCTAGTAGGTACAATACAGAGATCATACAAGGAACAGTTCATACTTTTTGTGGGGTGTGTGTGTGATCTATGGCAAGATTAGGCAGGAAACTATGTAGTTTGGAAAAGCAGCTGCACATGTCATTCCACTACCCTTGTGATGGAGCAGTACGGAAACTGTGCTGACATGTAGGCCTGGTTGACATGTGACTCTTGGCGTTGAACATGTGAGTAAGAGAAAGAGTAATAGCAGATACCATCTTATAGTCTTATTTCAGGAGTAACATGTCGTTCCTTCTGTTGTTTCCATCATATGTGCTTGTATGCTGTGGAGCTGCCTTTATTTTCTCGAAAGTTCAGGGTGGATTTCTAAATATCTTGTCTGATAATAACAGCTCCAGATTCATTTTCCAGCAGTCTTATGGGACGTGTAGGATTGATCCTTCCATGTGACTTCTGTTTTTTTTAACACTCTGTGCTTCTTCTTCTCCTCCTCCGTGCCCTTCCAAAAGATACATACCCATGTATCTATTCAGCACTGGTTAGATTTCATCAGGAGCACTGTGTCCGGTTCTGGACACTGCATTTTAAGAAGGATGCCAACAAACTGGAGCGAGTTCAGAGGAGGTTGATAAGGGTGATCAGGGGGCTGGAAACCAAGCCTTATGAGGAAAGGCTGAAAGAATTGGGCATGTTTAGCCTTGAGAAAAGAAGACCTGGTGAGGGGATATGATAGCACTGTTCAAACGCTTGAAAGGTAGTCCTTCATATGAGGGGCAGGATCTGTTCTCGGTCATCCCAGAGGGCAGGAACAGTGTTTTGGAAGTCTGAATATGGGCAACCTTATCTCATACTGGAATCGGTGAGCTTAAATCTAGAAGGAGCTGGATCAATTGAACTTTCAGGTGTCCCCCCCCCAATGCCATAATTTTATGATGCCTTAATTTCACTGGCAAACAGATAACCATGGACTTCATTTTCTCTTGCTAAAACCTAAAAGTATTCAACTTTTGCAATAGGCTAGGAAAGTGGCTGTTCGGGATTCTAACACCCGGTATTTCCCAGCCACCATGTTGTGGCTGTCATTTTTTAATAGTCCCAAAAAGTAACAGTCGGAGGCGCTGGATTACACACCCGCTCCTAAATTGGTTTCTGAAAACTGGCTTTTCTTATTATTTCAGTTTCCATGTCTGTCAGGACTCCTTCGCCTCACTGTGGAATTGTGCTGTGGATAACAATGTGTTTTGTACTTCTTCTCTGTATGTTCTGTCTAGCAAAGCGAGTTCTGTGTGTCTGTGTGATTAATAACTTGCCCTTTTAAAATTTCATTAAAATAATAAATCATCTCAAGCTGTTATCCATCATGAACTGCAAGGCTAAGAATTGGCTCCAGTACAAACGGGAGCAATGGTCTGAACTTTGATTTTATTCACCAGGGCACGAGATTTGCCCCCCACGTAAATATGCACAGGGCTAGAAACACACACACACACACACACACACACACACACACACAAACCTCTGCTACTTTGACCCTGCCCTAACACACACACACACACACACACACACACACACCCCTCTGCTACTTTGACCCTGCCCTACTCCTTCAAAAGGACCCGAGATGGCTTACATTCAAAAGGTGATATTTAATAGCTAATAAATAAATAAATATACAAATATTAAGAGAAATCAAGCAAACGGCACACTAAAAAAAGGTAAACAAAAGCAAACAAAAAGGTAAACAAATATCTGCCTAGAGTGGACTTTTAGGCCAGATGGGTGGGGTATAAATCAAATAAATAAAAGCAGCACCCGAAACAGATTCAAAGCAATAAGTCACAACACCATTTAAAAGCCCCCTCTTCAAAATCAAGCAAACACCACACTAAGAAAAAAGGTAAACAAAAGCAGCACCCAAAACAGATTCAAAGCAATACGTCACAACACCATTTAAAAGCCCCCTCTTCATTAGTTAATTAATGCAACAATGAAGGGACTATAAAATAAGGAAGCAAACTGGAATTTTACTAAAGAACAGATTCAAAGACAAGATGAAACAAGTGATTTTTTTTAGTCATTTGAGAGGAGGCTTGCTGGAGGGAAATCCCCACTCTGCTGACACTGGACGTGTACTGCCAGATCATAGCCAGTCATAACTAGAGATGGGCATGAATCAGAAAAAGTGTAATTCGTTTTGATTTGTGATTCGTGGGGTCAACGAATCATGAATTATGAATTCATGAATTTTTTTGACAAATCAACGAATTGATTTGTCAATTTGTTTTTGAATTTCAAACCCTATAAAACGGCCCCCAAAGCACCCTAGAGACACCAAACTGGCCAGGAAGCTTCCTCTGACCCTCCTCTACAAACCTTGCAATTTTGGTGATTCCCTTTCTAAGTCCATGCTCATCTCTAGTCACAGCGAGTTCCTGCCCAGCGAGACATTGTAGGTGCTTCCAGCAAAGGGGCTGGCTCCCTCCTCCCTTGAGGACAACACGGTAGATGAGAAGTGGCCACAAAGCACCGGTGAACAGATGTGCCTCCATCCTGCAGAATGCTGGGCTTTATCGTGTGACAGTTTGTGACTAGGGGCTCGGGTGCTTTAGCAGGAAATTCTAACAATGCCACTACACTACAAATGGCAGGATGGGATAGGAAAGAATGATGTTCTTGAGAGCAGTAGCGAATGGTTATAAATTGTGCAGCGTAGGAACACTTTTAAGGAGCTATTTTAATTTCTCCCAATACAGTCATGCCCCGCTGGATGATTACCCCACTCTACAATGAATCCGCATTACATTGCTGTTTTGTGATCGCTTTTGCGATCGCAGCGTTGCTGTTTTTGTGATCGCTTGTGCGATCGCAAAACAATGGTTTAAATGGGGGAATTTCGCTTAGCGCTTATCGGTTCCCTGCTTCGGTAACCGATTTTTCGCTTTACAACGATCAACAAACGGCTGATCGTCAGGTTTCAAAATGGCCAACGGTGAAGAAAAAGGACCCCCGCTGTTTTCTAGGACGGATTCCTCGCTTTACAGGCACTGAAAATGGCCGCTGTATGGAGAATCTTTGCTGGACGAACAAATATTCAGCCCATTGGAACTCACTGAAAGGTTTTGAATGCATTTCAATGGGTTTTCATTATTTCATTTGACGACGTTTTCGATCTACAGCGACTTCGCTGGAACGAATTAACGTCGTCAAGCGAGGCACCACTGTACTTTGCTTAGAGAGCATTTTTCCTGGACACTGTGAGAAGTTGAGCTTTTGGTTCCCGGCTGCCCGCGGCCTGTTTTGTTTTTTAAGGGTGGTACAAGGAAATTGTCAGGGTGAATCTTTTGAATGTGCCAAGGCCCCGACAGCTGCCCTGGGAAGATGCCATTCCTTCTGCCAGCGCTGCCTTGGTGTGGCTTCGCTTTCCCAGCCGTGACAGCTTCCAGAGCACTGACGTTGCTTCATGGGAACGTTAACAGTAGCTGAACAGCTGTGTAAATACACCCAGATTTTAAAAAGGGAAAGATAGCAGATTTTTTAGCACGGGGGGTGGTGGTGGAATACAATAATCAGTGCTTAATTTCCCTCGGCCTTTTATCTTCAGTCTTTTCCTTCCCTCCGCCAAATACCCACGGGCAAATGAAGTTCTAAATTGAAGAACGGTGGGAGAAGAGGAAATAAAACTTAAGCTTGTTTTTTTGCATTTGGAGCTAAAGGTGCTCTGACTTCTGCCCAATCTGAGGCGGCCTCTCAGCTTTCAAGAATATTCTTCTGTTTCAAGCTCGTTGTTAATAATGCACTAGCGATATCAATGTTCTCTAATTTGGCACGGTAGGGACAATTGGCAATGAGAGGATGATTAGATACAGCTTCCACCTTCCCATTCCTTCCTTGTTGCCTTTATCAAGCCGTTCTTCACACACAGCTCATCCCGGCTGGAATGGCAAGTGTTACATGAATGGACTCGGCAGACCTTTTACATGCCTAGGAGCCACTGCTGTTATCACTGATCAGCGATCAGAGATAAGCGTATGTAAAGTGAAAGGCTGCCCTTTTGAAGTGCTGGGCATTCTTAGTCTTATCTCCAGACTGTGATGCTTTTTTGACATGCATACAGTCTCACCGTGAAGTTAACCTATCATACCTTGGCCCTCATTCACTGTATCCTTTACAGTGGCTGTTGTTTTTCGTTCTCTCTCTTTCAAGAGTGGTGCTAAAACACATTTCCAGACTTTAGCTTGCAATTTCAATTAACCACAGTTTGGTGTTGCATCCAACTAAACTGTGGTTAATCTCAACTCTT